ATTTTTATTTACGATCTACAGTCTTCCGCGATCAAAACAATAGTCAGTTTCAGTAAAAATCTACATTTTGGACAACACTTCGACATGTTGAGAATGAGAGTCGAATGGTTTAGTTGCGATTTTACCAGGATATTATTATGATTACTTAAATTAAAATAAGAGTAAATTGAAATTCATTAATGTTGTTTAGACTGGTAATATATCATAAATATTACAAATGTATACACAGTTGCTTTGTTACTTTGTTATTAAATCGCAACGTATAAATTACATTGTTTGACATAATATCAATGTTTCATTAGGAAGTTAAATAAGTGTATTTTGCATGAATTAAAATAGATGGATGCACGAGAGGTTTAGAGGCCGATTATAGGGGCTGTTGTATTTACGTTGGTTTCTTCCTGAATAAATTAATTTCTATTACCTTGTTTATAAACATATTTTTAACCTTGACGTTGGAGTTGGTTCGATTTCATCAACCGTTTTAAATAATTGATTTATGTCATTACTCATTAGCCTAATGCGCATTAAAAGAGTATTTATATTATTCTTACTCCTGAATGAATGCGAACTGATTTAATGATTATTAATAATTGCATGTTTAGTATGATTGATTCAAATTAAAGTATATTGATTATATTAAAAATAATGGTAATAAAATATAAAGCTATGTAAACGAGTTTTTCCTAATCAATGAATTGTGCTCGAAAGTTTTTCAGGTTACGAGTTTTATCTAAGATAAATAAATATTAGTAAAAATAACTACAAAAATAATTTTGATAATAACACAGTGAACAAAAATTTAAATGATTCAATTTTATAAATTCAAATCATGACATAAGTCCTTGTTATTTATTTTCAACTAAAAATAAATGTTTTCGCTTGTCGATCTATGATTGTTGTCTACAGTATTTCTAATTTATTCTAAATATGACATTGCAAATTCTGCTATCACTTCAATAAATTAGGTATACTGGAATATATTGAATAGAACAGAATTAAATTTTAGGTGAAATGTTTCACAACTATCAGTTGTGCGTAAGAATTTGATAATTCTGCACATACACAATGAAATAAAAGCATAATAATGAGCGCACAAATGGTATGAATCTTAATAAAACAATGAACACAACTCGTATTTTCTATTTATATCATTGAAACACAACTCGTGTATCTTTTTATTGTTAAGCCCGGCAACTAGACCATTAGCTGTTGTAATTCGTTGTAGGTTACGGTAGGTTGTATTTTATGATTGTTACGGTTGATACAAACACGTTATGTGGCAGGTTTTCACTATGATCAGTGGTCACCCGTCCCGATGATACTATTCGTACTCTTACATTCCATGTAAGTAAACGTATACATATATGGGCAAACCATTACGATAATAAACGTCAAATACACCGATTAACAACTAATTTATCAATTTTTTAATTTTAATTAACTCTTATCTTGAATATTTTGGATTGTTATATTATTGATCAATTTTTGAAAGATAAAAATCGATTGTTTGGTGAAGTAAAATCGTCCTAGGGATTGGTTAGATTGGATATTGTGTTTTACGGCGATACTTAATTCGACAATATTTCCGCTAGTCCCACTCTTGGTTTCCATCATTGCGGATCACCAACCCTACGTTTATGGACATTAATTATATTTACATTATTTAAAAATAAAAATAAATAGGTTATATTCGTATTATCACACATTAATTCAAATGTAATATGTGATGGTGGAAATACATATCCTAGGTCCATCGCCAAACAGGAGGAACGTTCCGTGTGGTCTTGAACTTATATTTTCTTCAGTAAATCGTTCAGGATCAAACATTTGGGTCTGAATAATACCCAGGATCGCCGACAATGAATATATTGGGATTAATAATCTCTCACCAACATTTAAGAATGTATTTACTGTCTGCAATGTGCTTCTGAGTGCAAACTCGACTAAAATGGAACTGACGGGTACAGTCTCAATGTTTCTAAAAGTATATTGGTAAAAAGTTTACCATAAAGTTAAAATATATTTTATCTATTAATAATTCATTTGCTTTAAATTCATAACATAACATTATATACATACTATTTATCACACCATATCCGATATTATTTCATGTCTTTTAACATATAGTACGAAAGCTTTCATCGTTTGCGATCAATGTTTTGCTTAATTTTTCTCGTAATTTTGCTTGAATTTCAGGATTCATTGCTAGCTCTATAAGTAATAACTTATTGTGGAAGCTGTAGTTCAAACAACAATAAAAAGAATAGACCATTTGCTGCTAATATCCAGTAAATAATTCTGAAAATGTTAGAGATGAATAATAATATCATACGAGTGGTACTTTGCATTATGTATTTTTCTCAAGATAAGATTATATTCGAGGTTATACAATACATTTCGTGACATAATCAAGTAATTTTTGCAATTTATGTGTGCATGAAAATGTATTTAAATTAATCGATTTGATTTTAATTTTAACTGTGATTATACTTTATAAACATAGTTAAAATTTATAGGATATATGCTAATAATTGTAAATAAGTATTGATGCTTTATTTAAGTCAATACAATTATCTATTTATAAAATATAAATAAATATCTTTAGCTGATTATTGATTATTATTTATATGCTCATTTAGATAATTATCTAATATCGTAATTATATAATTTACCACTTAAGTACCAGATTTAAGTTCAATATAATGTACATATTTATTTATAATTTATTTAGTAGTTATGAATTAGTGTTCCATAGGTCATAGCTGATAGTTATTATTTGTATGAACCTTTAATGAACAATAGAATTTAATGAATACATTAATACCTAATAAACTTGATTCAGGTAATAGTTTTACATAGTTCTCCAAACACAAATAAGCAATACTTAATACTAACTATTTTATTATTATAATAAGATTTTGATTAATATTTTATTATCGATCAACTTCTACAATATCGTTAGTCGGATAAAATATAACTCAACATAAACTTAGCCAGACAATAGTATGAAACTAAATTTAGAGCAAATTCTGTCAAACATTTTGAAGTAACTATAAAGCTGAATTACTGTTATAATGTTACTAATGAATACGCGGATATACGCTGTATACTCGTCAGCAATTTTGATTTTCGGCGTATGCAATTTAAATGTCATTTACGGGTAAACGCACTTTCTAAAACTCGAAAACCAAATGAAACTTGTACATAGTTATAGGAAAATTTTTGATGTTTAATGAACTATTTATCTTATTTATCAGTATACACTGTATTTAATGTATTTTGTAATTTATTAAATTTAAAAATCGTTTATTGACACGGGCTAAATATTGTTATGATACAATGTTGAAACAAAATATAGCAATACATATATAACAGAACAAAAATACGTGCCAGCGTTACCGGTCTTTAATTTTATAGTGATACATTAGAAGTTAATAGTTCATTAAAACATCAAAAATTTCTACAAACTATAATAAATTTCATTTGGTTTCGAGTTATTTTAGGAGCGTTACCGTAAATGATGTTGGTGGGTATGCGCCGAAAATCAAAATTGCTGACATACAGCGTATATCCGCGTATTCATTAGTAACATTATAACAGTACATCTAAGCATAGTTACTTGTTTGACAAATTTGCTCTCTAAACAGTTCATACTATTTATTCATATATGACATAGGTACTATATTTATGTTGGTATATTTTATCGACTAACGATATTGTGTCGATAATAAGTAATCAAAAATGCTATTAGTAATACTTAGTATTAGTTAGTATTAAATATTGCTTATTTGTTGCTTGATAACTATGTAAAAACTTATTACCTGGAATCTGCTTATTAGGTATTAATGTATTCATTAAATTCTATTAGTTCATTAAATACTATACAAATAATTAACTGTAGCTATGACCTGGAACACTAATTAATATACTAAATAAATTTATAAATAAATATGTACATTATATTGAACTTAAATCTGTAGTAACTTAATTATAAATTATAAATTATTGATATTGAATAGTATCTAAATGAACATATAAATAATAATCAATCAGCAAAAGATATTTATTTATATTTTATAATAGATAGTGCCGTGACAAATAAAGAATACTCTATTTCATAGTATTAGCATATAACATAATTTAACATAAACATAATGTATATAATCTGATTAAAATTAAATCAAACTCGATTAATTTCAAATACATTTTCATGCACATAAGTGAAATTACTTGAATATGTCACGAAATGTATTGTATAACCCTCAGATATATCTTGAAAATACATACCAAAGTACTCGTATGATAGTATTATTCAATTCTAAATTACTTTTTCAATTATTACTGATGACATATTAGCAACAATGCATTCGTATTCTTCATTACTGGTTACTTCACAATAGTTATTGTTTATATAAAACTAGCAATGAATCCCTGAAATTCAGTAAAATTAGAAAAAGTAAGCAAACATTGGACGCAAACGATGGGGCTTTCGTACGATACGTTAAAGATGAAATATTTGGATATGGTATTAAATGGTTATTATCATATACTATATGTTATGTTATGAATTTAAGTAATGGGTATTAATAGTAAATATATTTTAACTATAAATAAACTTTTTACCATACTTTTAGGCTGATGAGACTAAATCAGTTCAGTTTTTAGGTCGAGGATTTGCATAAGTACACGATTGCAGACAGTAACATATCTCTAAATGTTGGTGATTAATTAATGTCCCAATATATTCATTATCATGATCTACTAAGACCAAATACTCTTTGATCCTAGTGATTTACTGAAGAAAATAAGTTCAAGACCACACGAACGTTCTCCATTTAACTGAACCTAGGATATGTATCATTAATTACCTACACTTACATTTAAGTATTAATATAATAATAAATATAAATGCATTTATTTTTATTTTAAATAATGTATAATATAATGTGTCCATAAATGAGGTTGCGATTAATATTCGAATTTGATATCGCAAATGCTATAATGCGTGCTGTCCGGATACTGTAGTTGTGCACGCGCCGCTCGCGATGGTCTCGTCCACCTTTTGGTTGGAAATCGTACCGGCCGTCGTCATAGCGTCGGTTCTGCTGGCGTACGTCTACTGCACTCGTCACTACGGCCACTGGACGGCGCTGGGCGTGCCGCACACCAAACCGACGCCGTTGCTGGGCCACTTCGCCGGGCCCACGGTGGGTCGCGAGTCGACCGCAATCACCGTGGACACGTTCTACCGGCTGTTTGCCGGCCACCGGTACTTCGGGCTGTACCAGCTCCGGTGCCCCATGCTGGTGGTGCGCGATCCCGCACTGGTGCACGCGGTGCTGGCCACAGAGTTCGGGTCGTTCCACGACCGGATGATGAGCCGGACGTCGTTCGAACACGACGGGCTGTTCAACAACCTGGTGAACCTTAGGGGCGAGAGGTGGAAAGCGGTCCGGGCCAAGCTGAGCCCCACGTTCACCGTGGCCAAGCTCAAAGCCATGTTCGCCAGCCTGCATGTGTGCACCGGCCAACTCGCCGACAAACTATCGTCGCTGACGTCCGACGACCAAGGTATAATATTTTGTGACATTATGCGTCTGTGTAAGATATTACCGCGGTCGACGTCAATAATTTTTGTCTGTTTTGTTTGTGATTAAAAGTATTATACCTGCTGACAATCGCTATAGTAAGTCTAAAAAGTGACAAATGTTTAAAACGTTATTCAAAACGATCACAATATTATTATACTGCTAAACACACCGTGTGAACATTTCACCCAGTATCTTCGAAATCGTAATTAAAAGTGATGTGTGTGAAGATTACGTTAAAAATAATAATATAATTATCTTCTTTTATAAGACATATTGTGATGCTGAGTTGCATGAAAAATCACTGAACATTTATTAAATCGATCGGAAGTTAATAGTCCCTAAAGAATGATTTAATGGCCAATGATTGGTCCAATAAACCAATCAACTATTTATGTGACCCGACAATAATAGGTAGGCATATTGAACATTTATGTAAGTTTAATCTACGCGTTTAAACTGTATATTACAGAAACTCTATACCTAATAAGCGACACCATGAAAATTTTATTACCTACAATTTATATTAGTTAAAAGATTCACCAATACAAGTGATGGGTATAGTACAAGCAATTTAAGTTATTGTATATCCAATATCACAATTTATTTATTTATTTGTTATTTCAGTATTCGTGACAACTGTAGTTGAAGTGCTCTGTATAACTAGTTTTTTATTTCACAAACTTTCTTTTTTTGAAGAAATATAAAACCATGCATTATAATACCATTGTTATTGACTAACAATACGATGAAACGTATAATTACGCTTATATAATAGGTAATCTAGAGCATCGGAGGTTAACGATTATCATATGAATTGAGTAAAGCTTTAAATTATATCTACTAATATTGACAACAAATTTTATGAAAATAAAATGAATAATGAATCTTTTACGATTAAGCTGCATGATGCAGTAAGTGAACGTTTTAGATATACCTAGTTGGATAATAAGTGAAAGCTGTTTTTGAATATCTCATTTCGAGTGCATTGACACATTATAAAAGTAAAAACTGTTTAGTTACACCTAACTCAAATATAAATCTTCGTTTATCGATTAGAAATGTACAGTAGGTAATTATTTAATTTAGAAAAAACATCATAAAAAATTGTTACATATTTGATTGTCATAATATAGGTAACAATTTTAATTAAATCTTAACATTTTTCCAAAAAAAAAAGAAAAAAAAAAATTAAAAATATATATAGCTTTCATAACAGTACCTACTTAACTAAATTACAAATTAATTAATATATAGTATTATTTAAATGTAAATATATTAAGTATCTTATCTTAAAACCTTAATGAAGCACACTTTACAAATGACTAATTAATAATATAGATTCATATTAAAATTATTTTTTATATTTTTTAATACTTCACATTGTTATTTTCATATTGTTGTACTAAATTACAATAAATTTATATAAATATACCGAGTATATTATATATACGTATTACAAATTAAATTTCCATGAATATTACCTTGTAGTTTGTTTATTCTAAACGTATAAATCACCTATTATTATAACTTAAAAAATGATCTTGCACTTGTTATGGTAAATCCTTAAACTACACGCAGAAGGCAAATTATTATCAATCAAATGCAATTTATTTAATTTGTTATGTAGGTATCTATGTAAACATTTTATTTTACCAAGCAAAAATGTGTAGATATATACAATTTACAATAATAGAAAATTTATAATTATATATTTGATGTTTTTAGTACATTATAATATAGCACGTCTTATTATGTATTATGTGATTAGTAAACTAAAAACCTTACAAACGTATTAGGTAATGTATTAATTAAAATAAAATAAAAATATTTTGTATATACAATTTGTTTAAATTTAATAATAATTTTAGCTTTATCATGTTTATTGAACACAGGTATTATTAATGTCACCGATATATCATCAAAATTTACAATCGATACAATTGGAAGGTGTGCTTTTGGGATAAAATGCAATACACTTTTTGACTCGAATACAGAATTTCAAAGAGCTGGACAGGCAATATTTACACCCACACTGAAATCATCTGTATTAAACTTCATGAGATTAATTGATCTAGGATGGCTTGTGGACTTGTTAAGATTACGTAGTATGCCCGATCAAGTCTATGAATTTTATTTTAATTTATTTCAAGATACAATGGAGTTACGTAAAAGAGAAAAAGAAGAACGTAATGATTTCATTTCGATTTTAATCAAATTGAGAAACGATGAAAAAAAAAATAGCAGTCAAGTTGGTAAGTTATATAAAAGATATTTTAAATACCAATTAGGAATGTTTTGTTTGAAAAATTTAGAGATTAAGATTAATTCGATATCTACTTGATAACTAGTAAATGCAATACACTAATAAAATTATATAAATAATTATTATAACTTTATCGTGATTCAAGATGAGTACGTAAATATAAAACCTAAAATAACATTGTAGGTTTTTAAATGATGAGACCACGTGAATTATGAAGTCCCCGGGTCTGTCTCCCTCCTAGGCTCTGGGGCTATATATAATAATTCATTAAGTATATTTATTTAATATCGATTATAATAATATATTAATTTGAATAAATTATCAACTACTTACAAAAATGATGATTCAACTCTATAAATTATTTCGTCACAATAAGTACATTAAGCGATATTGAAGCCCTCTCTGCACCCTTTGAATAAATTCTGATTGTACAACTGATTCAAGAATTTAACATAATTAGTAAGCAATTATTCAGATTTTAATATTTATTTAACATTAACTGACTTATTATAAAAGTATAAAAACGAGCTTAAATATGTTATTTGTTAATATTGATCATCAGATATATAGACGCATTCACTATAATTACTGCACATGTATCTGAACAAATAAGAACTAATTATTGATTAAAATGTTTTCAATATGTAATTCAGATCACTTATCTACACATATTGAACAAATGATATATCGTAGTAAAAACCACAATCTATATAATTAATGGCCAACAAGAATATCATGATCATAATATTTACTATATATACATATATATATATTATTTTATAAGTGGTCACGCAGAAGCCTAAATTTTAATATAGACATTTGTAATTAAAAAAATGTTGGTATGCCTTTATCTAAAAAAACTGCTCTATCGAATCGGACGACACATAATAGATTTCGTCCGATTTTAACAAGAGCACTCTCCCTGCATATAATATGTCTCCAACTAAGAAATATTTTGTACAATATATATAGGTAATATAATATTATTGCTATTTTTATTAATCGATACATAATAATTAATTATTAATTTTACTAACTAAATTTTAACAATTTTTAGAATTATTTACTGACGATGTCTTAGCTTCAAATGCATTCATATTTTTCGCGGCTGGATTTGAAACTACTGCATCTGCTATGAGCTATTGTCTATACGAGTTAGCTTTGAATCAAGACATTCAAATCGAATTGCGCAAACAAATCAAACACACACTAAACGAAAACGAAGGGATTCTCACTTACGATGTGGTAAAAGATATGAAGTATTTGGATATGGTATTAAATGGTTAGAGCACAATTTTAATGCAAAAAAATTCAGCTATGTTAACAAAAAATATTTTCCGATTTTTAAATTATAACTCATAAAACATAAATAAATAATATTTTAGAAACGTTGAGAATACATCCACCAGGACCAAGTCTATTGCGAGTATGTACTAAAAAATTTAAAATACCAGACAGTGATATAACTTTGGACGTTGGTACGAAAGTACTTATACCAACATATTCCCTACACCACGACCCCGTGTATTATCCAAATCCAGAAGTGTTTGATCCCCTGCGGTTCACAGAAGAAAATAAAGCTTTGAGACCGAATGGAACGTTCCTACCATTTGGCGATGGACCTAGGATTTGTATCGGTAAAAGTTGTTCACTTAAAT